AAGTGGCGGTATCTGTAAATCAAATCTGTCTTAAGGTGCCATTAGAAGCAAAGCTCTCACTTGGTTCTAATACGAGCTGAATAAATTACATTTTCATTAATGGCATTAATAATGAGCTTAGGTTGCCCAGCTGATTTGTCTACAGTTTTGTAAAGGCAACTATACTGAACAAGACAGAGAGACCAGCTATGTTGTATGGTCTGGAGACAGTGACAAAAAGACAGGAGAAAGAACTGGAAGTGGCAGAAATGAAGATGTTGAGGTTCTCCTTAGGGGTGACAAGGATGGATAAGATTAGGACTGAGATCATCAGAGGTACAGCACAGGTTGAACAACTGGGAGATAAAGTTAGAGAGACCAGACTGAGATAGTTTGGACATGTCCAGAGGAGGGACAGTGGGTATATTGGTAGAAGGATGTTATAAATGCAGCTGCCAGGAAAAAGACAAATAAGCGATGTATGGATGCAGTTAGAGAGGACATGGAGGTAACAAAGTCCATGCTCAATAATCCAGGTATACAATCCAACATTTTTCAGTCAGGTCATCTGGACAGTTTCTTTTTTTTTGTGCTGAAATGTTTCGCCTTTATTACAATAATCCATATTAATGTCCAAGATTTCATGAAAATAATTTTGACAAGTGTGACTTGTCTTGCACTTTATGTTGTGCATTTTTTTTTTAATTAGCTGTTTTTCTAAATATGTTATTTATTTAGCATTTCCTGCAAACCAGATATATCTTTCAAGCAGTTCATGGGTGTACACCAGTTTTAACCTGATACAGAAAAATGTGCATAGGTTCACACAACGGATTAACTTTTCAAGTGAACCCAATTCAAGATAAGATTTTAGAACAAAATGGCAGTAATTATATATGAGGAATGCTAGGTCTTTGTTAATATTTTGGCCAAACAAATGCTTTTAATAACTAAACGTCTTCTTTTAAATGAGATGCACTGGAACCAGAGCCTCTACTTGATATTTCATAGCATCCTGACAAGACTTGACCTTTTAAAATGATTTATTTAGACACACAATATGGAGTTATTTAGGCAGCTGAAAGCAGCAGGATCTCTTAAAGCCAAATGTTTTTCCTCAGACTGTGAACTCTGAGCTGTTCCAAATTAAGAAGAGCATCATCTTTCCCTCCAGTCTCACTTAATGTTTCTCTTTATAAATGATTGATAGCACTGAGTGGCCCCTTGATCCCCTCCTGGGTTCGATGAGGGAAGAGGTTCTGTTGTGACACAGACAGAGACACAGAGGTTGTCTTCTCTGATTAAAGACATGGTTCTGTTTGCATGTGAGCGTCTTGGCACTCCGACAGCCTGGAATGCAGTGAGTGGATCAATACAATTGTATTGTAGCCCAAATCAACTCTGTGCTTTCTGCATCTCAACAATGAGGCTGATGGTATGTTCTAACCAAGCCAAGTGTTGGATTACAATAAAGACCTATTAATTTCAACATACATCTGAGCTGAATAACAGTTTTATATCGATTTGAGTCAGTTCACACCTTCTAAAGTTTTTGACATAATATCCAGGAATGACATTATCAGTTACTGCAGCTGCTGCTTCAGAGTTCGAGTACAGTGTGTATTATAGGTAGGCCTGTCACGATAACAAATTTTGCAGGGCGATTAATTTGCTCAGAAATTATTGCGATAAACGATAATATTGTTTGAAATTTGACAATATTTAGTAATTGTCAAATCTAAGAATAAATGTTGGTTAATTTTTGTATGTAGTATTTTTTTTTACCACTGTATGGCAGTATAAAATGGTTTGAACCAAAGGATGGATAGTGAGGGAGTGAGCAGTGTGTCTCTTTAAGAAAAATGGGAGGGAGGCCACTTGACATGACATGGGCTGTCTCTCTTTCCTGTTTTTCGGTTCTCAAATTGGCGGACGCTCAGTGTGGTTTTAGCTCTTTAGCATAGCATTTGTCACACAAAGCTTTTAATAAAAAACAGTAAAAAAGTTCTCAGCTTCTTTTTGCAGAGAAAAACAACTTTTTACATGAAGGCACAGTTTTCCACCGTGAATTTTAGAGCTTGAACAAGACGGAGGTTTTTTTCCCCGAGGTCGACCTGCTAGCTTAGCTCGTAGCTTAGCTTCTTAGCTTAGCTGTTTTTAACGATCCAAAACTGCAATTTTGGACGGTTAAAACAGATTTTGAAGCGAAAAGAGAAAGTGAGGGGTCAGTGAAGGGCATCGGAGTTGAACTTTTTGTCATCCAGTGTCTTCAGTAGAAAGAGAGAGACATTAAGAAACGATAAAGCCGATAAATGAAAATGAGGTCAATAATTTTCATTTATCATGCGATTAATTGATTTATTGTTTATTGCGACAGGCCAAACTATATGTGTACAGTGTGCATTACTAAAATAATGTTTGAATATTTCTGTCAGTTTGAAGATTAATTTAACTATGTTGAATGCAAAATGGCTACAAGCAAAATACAAACATTTGGAGGTAAACATCTCAGGTCTGCTGTGCTAAAAGTGACAACCTCTGTCCTTGAACTTCAACTGATGCACACATGTGCATCAATACCTAAATAAAATGTGTCACATGTGGTTTTCATGGCCGCGAGGCTTGTCACAGCAATTTTCATGGCACACTTCTGTGCAGGCACAACTGTAAAATAGATCCTGCTATTTCTGTGTCTGCTGCGCACCGTGCTGCACTGTAATGCTGTGATGGAGTGCTCCGCGGTTACTACGATAACTACTGCTGCACTCTGCTCTGAGCACAATCCTCCCATATTAAATAAAGGAGATGACGTTTGTGCAAAGCCCCCCACCGCCTCTCGCTGTCCCACAGTGGCCTGTATCGGCACATTTCTGCTTGCTCTGCCATCCTGCAAAGCATCTTTGTCCAATTCAGTGTTTACAAGGCCAACACAATTAAATCTTGCACAAGACTAATGTCAAATGTTGCTTTTTTGAGCCTGGAAACCCAGGTGTTCACATACAGTAGGCTTCACTGTAATTTTTATTACTTGTTACATCATATGTAATTGACAAGAAGATCAAGATTACTTTACCTGGCATTATCATTTACTGCCACAAATGTGGCTTAGTGTCAGACTTAAATGCGGTCATTTAATTGGCCCGTTTTTTTCATTGTATATGCAAAATGTTTTGAGGTTCATATCCTTATTTAAAAAGTCTAAAGGAAACAGGGTGGACTGAAGAAATCTGTTGTTGCTTTTATCTCCATGGGATGATCACATATTTGTGGAGGAAACTGTCAGTAAACATCTTCTTCTTTTTCTGCAAAATATATTTAAAAAAAGGGAAAATAATGGTTGTACAAAGTGTTTTATGAACAACATTTTTGGTCATACTTCTCCTTCTCTGCCCAAAATACAAAAAATCATTAAAATTATTAAAGGTTGTAAATAATCACATAAAGCAACAAAATTAAATCACACCACCAGGAGAAAAAGAATGATGGCGTGAAATTTTTGAAATATTAACTTAAACAATAATAATAAAAAAAAAACAACAACTCTTGATCAGTCAGGTTTCTTGTATAAAAGCTGACGTGAGATTTTCAGGCTTGAACCAATAATTTTCAATCAATTTATGATCGTCAGTATCTTCCTGCCATGCCACTGAGTTTATATATAT